TGGCCCCACCCCCGACCAGGCTGGCCCCACCCCTGACCAGGCTGGCCCCACCCCCAACCTGGATGGCCCCACCCCCGACCAGGCTGGCCCCATCCCTGACCAGGCTGGCCCCACCCCTGACCTTGATGGCCCCACCCCCAACCAGGCTGGCCCCACCCCCTCAGCTTCCGAGGTAGGCCTCCATCCAGGGCACCCAGGATGTGTCTGGGACCTCAGACGGAAGCAGTGTGCAGGAGGAGAGGGTGTTGATTCAGATACCAGTTCTTCACCTCATCAGAGGTGGCGGGGTAGGGGAGGAAGAGGGGGCGGGCCAGGTGGGCAGGCAGGACCAGGGGGCAGGGGCCTCTGGGGTTCTCATTTTGCTCTGTGGACTCTGAGCTCAGAAGGTCACAGCGACCTTCAAGACTGGGCTTTGAACCAAGTTCAGTTGGGTCCCCAGACCGGTGTGGTCAGGTGCCCCCCCTCACCCTCCCCGCTCCCGCTGTCCACCATGCGGGGGCCCTCACTGGCAGGAGATGGCTGGGGCCAGCGCAGGACGCAGGGTCCACGCTGTCAGGTTTGGGGGGAGGGACCGGCTTTGGGAGCACACGATGGGCTGACCCCAAGGCGGGCAGAAGTGGGTGTCACCACCCACCGGTCCCCCAGAGGAGGACAGCAGGCTCAAGACCCTTCAGGTGGGCAGCTACTCAGAGGAAGAGTCTCAAGGTGGCTGACTGAAGCCCTGGCTTCTGGCAGTGGGGCGGTCCGCATCCACCATAAAGAGGCCCAGGAAGCCTGGCCCACGGCGGCCACAGGGCCAGGGAGGGCACAGTGGTGCCAGGCTGCATGGGCCTAGAGAAGGGCCCGAAGCCCCCGCCCGCCCCGCTCCTGTCTCCTGCCCCATCCTGGCTGCCCGCCTGGCCTGCTCGGTCTCTAACAGCCCCCGAGGACTTTCCCTCTCAACCACACCGCCAAACCACTCAGCCCCGGGAGGCTGCGGTCTGTCCTCACTGCTGGCTAGCGGGGGGGAGGAGGGGGGACAGTGGGGACCACAGAGACCGCCGTCTGCATCCTGGGCTGTGGGGGAGGGCATGGGGGAGGGCTCACCCGCGTGGCCTGCGCGTGGTGGTGTTGCTCGGGACCCCCAGCCTCCCCTCCGCCTGCCCAGACCCCCAAGATGGATGTGACGCCCCGCTGGCTGGCCCTGGCTGGCGGTCACCGGCACGTTCCCTCCCAGGACCCTGCACTGTCCCCGCTGGGGGCCGTCTCTGCGGCGCCCTGTCTGCTCCTGCCCTGTGCAGGGCCCTCTCTGTGCCCCGTGTGCCTGGACTTGCTGCCTCCCCTCCCCCTCTGGGCCAGAGGCCTGCCCGGGGTGCTCCTGGTGCTTCTGGTCCTGGGGTCTCCACCTCTGGTGGCTCCATGCTGGGAGAGGCACTGGAGAAAACTGAAGCCTCCCCCTGTTCCCCTGCCTCCTTCCCCTTCCGGCTCCATCCCCGCAGCCTCTGATTCCCGGTGGGAGGCAGGCAGCCTCCAGCCTCCTCCTGCCCCTTCAGTGGCCACCCCAGAAGGGCCCGGGCAGGGTGACAGTTGTCTCTGGGGTCATGTTCTGCACCTATTCCTCCAGCCCACCCCCATGTGCTTAGGCGGGGGGGGGTAGGGGTGGGGAGGGGTGATTGGCAGAGGGACCCCGCACACTAGTAGGAGATGAGACTTTGGCAGGTGGCAGTGAAGTGGGGGGTTCAGATTTCTTTCCTTTAAAGGGGAAAACAAGGGGCCGAGAGACCTTGTTGCAGGGTGGGGGGGACACACCATCCTTGTTCCCCCAACAAGCCATCAGATGGCTCTGATGTGGCCGAAGTGCTGAGGGAGGGGGCCCTCCCCCTCCCCCCAGTCCCCCAGGTCCCCCTGCCACGGCCCGGCCGCCCCCCTCCTGCCCGCCGCCCGCTCACCCAGCCTGCCGATCGGCAGCACAGGATGACGCCCGGGCCGCGCCGGGCGCTCTGTGGGCTCGTCAGATGACTGTGGGGGCCCCACGCTCCCTGGCGTGGAGGAGGAGGCGTGGGGCTGCGCACCGGTCCTGGATCCCCGCGCCCGTTCTGCCTGCCCCTGTCCCAGGAGCCGCCCTCCCCGCCTGCCCGCCTGCCTGCCTGCCTGCCTGCCCGCCCGCCTGCCGACAGCTCCTGCGTGCACGGAGCAGCAGCGGAGGGAGCTGGGCTTCTTTTTCCATCCCTCCAAGAGAAAAACAAAGCTTCCACCGCCTCGGTTCTCCTCTGGCTGATTCCATTTGCGTCCCTGGAAGATGCGTCTGGCCGAGGCGGGCCGGGGCAGCTCCGTCGCCACCCCGCCGCCGCTGCTGCCACCGCCGCCACCACCGGGGCTACTTACTTTCTTCTTGGAGCTGGGCGGCGTTGCCCTGGCCGGCCCCCGGGCGCCCTGAGCGGCCCGCCCGCCCGCAGGCCCTCCGGCATGCGCCGGTCCTTCCCCCGGCTGGCTCCCCCCCTCCACATCCCATTGTGCCCCGCTCCCCCATCCTGCTAGCCCCCCACCCCCACCCCAGCTCCTCCCGCACCTCTCCCTGCCACCCAGGCTCCTCCATGCTGCCTGGATCCGGCGAGCGGCGTGATTAATTGGCTATGAGGATGAACCTCCCCGGTGGAGGAGCAGCCGCCGTAATGATGACGGGTTACAATAATGGTCGTTATCCCCGGAATTCTCCCTACAGTGACTGCATCATCGAGGAGAAGACGGTGGTCCTGCAGAAGAAAGACAATGAGGGCTTCGGGTTTGTGCTCCGGGGGGCGAAAGGTAAGCGCGGCCGGGCGCCCGCGTGCGTGTGTGTGTGTGTGTGTGTGCCCGTGTGTGCCCGCATGTGCCCCTGGTCCTGTGTGCCTGTATGAAGCATGTTCCCAGCTTGGAGATAAACGTGAAGCGGCATTTTCCTGGGGCCACTTGGTTGCTAGACAACCGTGATCTCTCGCATCCTGCCTTTCTCAGGAAGCACTGGGGCTTCCTTTCAGCATATTTTCTTAATTTTCGATCCACAATATTGCCCAGAACAGGCTCATGCTCTCCTCTCTGCCCTCTCTCTCTCTTGCTCTTTCTCCCCCCACTTCTTTTAATCATGGAGTTAATCCGTCCATGTCTTACGCTTTAGTCTGACCACACTGTGGCTGCCTTCAGAGCGCAGACACCAGAATCTCCAGCCTGGAGTTGGGGGTGCCCCGCTCTGGGAGGGGGGCTTCAGCCCAGGGAGGCCAGCGCCCACGTGGCTCTCTGTAAGGTGACTTTGCAGAGGTGTGCCGAGCCGGTGGCACACACCCAGTGGGCTGCGCGATGGGGGCTTGGGGTCCGGGTGGTGGGTCCGGGGGCTTCCCTGGCCAATGAAAACAAAATGGCATCGCCCCCGTGAGAGGGAGACACTGCCCCGTGGGCGCCGACCGGCCATGTGGAAGTCCCACCTCAGAGCTGTTGGGCCGCGTCGGGCCCTGCCCTTGCTATGAGATGGATGGCCTCCTGCCTGCCCGAGCTCCGGCCGTCCGGAGCGATCTGCCCAGAGGGAGAGGGGAGCTCGGCCCCCCCCGGACGTGCCCACGTCTGCCTGTGTGCCCGGCTCTCCCTCCCCACCTGGGCATCTTTGCCTCTCCCACCCACCCCCGGTCCTCACGACTGCCAGGAAGTCCCACCTTGCCCTAGAGTTGTACTTGAAGCCATGTGGGCCTGGAACCGAGCCTGGCTCTGCCGAGGAGCGGAAGTCCAGCCCCCACCCCCCTTCAGGCTGGGCCTGGGAGCGTGTGGCCGCAGGAAGCGGGTCCCCCACCCCCTCCACCCCCCACACAGCCAGAGCTCAGAGCAGACCCCAGACGCGCGGCCACCCACCGGGTCAGCCTTCTGCTCCAGCCATGTTCCCAGTCCAGTCTCCTGGGCCGCGGCTCCGCGTGGAGTTTCTCCAGCTCCCTGTGGTATGAGCAGGAACTTTTCCATTTTTAGAACTGAAAAAATGTTTAGTCACCGATGCTTTTAAAGAAAATGACAGGCATGCAGACCTGTTCCACAGAGCACATTGTCCTGGGGTTGGGCGGGGAGGCCGAGGGGCATGCGGGGGGGATGGCCCTGCGCACGGCTGGCCACGCCGCTCAGGGAGAGCCAGCGGGACCACTGCCTCCAGCAGGAGGTGTGGGGCCGCCTCCTCCAGGGGTCCTGTGGGGTGAGGAGGGGGACAGCCGACCTGGAAAACACCTCTGTCTCCTTGTCTCCCCAGCCGACACCCCTATCGAGGAGTTCACGCCGACGCCGGCCTTCCCGGCACTGCAGTACCTGGAGTCTGTAGATGAGGGCGGGGTGGCGTGGCAAGCCGGACTGAGGACCGGGGACTTCCTGATCGAGGTAGGACACGCGCGTTCCTGGTCATCCTGCCCACGCGGCTGGGAAGGCGCGGTTGTGGCAGCCACGCCACAGGTTTAGGGGTGTCGGAGGGACTCTGGGTGTCTCAGCCCCTGTGGCTGCCCGTGGCCCTGGTGTTTCGGAGTGTCTGTGAGCCTCTGGCTGTAAGTCTTAGGAAGGAGAAAATGTGCATGGAACTTGGCAGTCCGTCCCAAAGCAGAAGGGTCGGAGGAGACGTGGCTCGGCTGGCGGGCTGGTTGGGGGGAGAGGGATCCGTGGATGTGTTTGTCTTGGCTCTACAAGTGACACCAGGGGTCGTTTCCTGTCCCTGCGGCCACCGCGCGTATGAGGGGTTCCACTCCCGTGGCACATCTGGAGGTTCGCCGTCAGGCAGGTTCAGAGTTGTTCTGGTCTTGCGGGGCGAAGGCACATGTGACCCTCTGGAAATCGGAAGAAGGCAGGAGTGTGCTGGAGATGGGAAAAGATCCCGAGCAGCCCTGTGTCCTGCGGGGGCCCCACCCCCTGCACCTACCCCGATGTGTGTCCGGGCAGTAAAGGAGGGGACCACATCTGACCTTGCAGAGCTGGACCTGGAAGCCATTTCTGCCCATGGTGCCCAGTGATCCTTCAGCTGGGGCCTGGTTTGGGATTCCAGGGGCATTTCCCCAGATTTGTAAGGGTGATGGACATGCAAGGGGAGCCCCCCCCCAATGTGGGGGAGAGTGAGCCGGGCAAGGGGAGGCGGTGTGGTCTCACTGTGTCTCCTACTGTTTGCTGGAAGACGCATCCAGGTGATTCTTGACCAAGGTGAAGCCTGGGTTGGGTGAGCCCGGAGCTACTTGGAGTTGTTGTCTGTTGGAACTGTGGGGTGCAGACCTGGAGTGGCAGAGCAGGGGGGTGGGGCGCCCCCCTGCAGCTCTGCCGGTGAACTGGGTTTGTAACCCTCATGCAAATGTAGAGGTGGGGTGTGAATCATCTCCAGTAGGATGCGATTGTGATGGAGATCCCTTTCTTGTGTGTGTGTGTGTGTGTGTGTGAGACAGGCAGGCAGGCAGACAGGCAGACAGACAGACAGACACGGCCTGAATGGGAGGCCTATGGATGACAGGGAAGGAAGTCCACTAGGTAGAAACAGGTTGGTGCTGGCTCTTGGTCTTCAATAATAAATGACAGCGGTGGATGTTAAAATCTCTCTCCTCCCCTGGTGCTGGGCATATTGAGTTGTTTTTGGGTAAAACGATTCAATGAAACAAGTGCGGACCACCGAGGCACCATGCCCGGTGGGGGCCATGCTCCCCGGGCACGGGGCGGGTAGATGTCGGTGCCCTCATCTGGGCTGGGCTGGTGGAGGAGCCACACTCTCCTGTCTCACTAAATCCTCAAGAAAACGTAAAGCGTCAAGAGTTCCCTCCTTTAGCCACTAGCCTACAGAAGTGCTTGCCTTCAGGGCACAGGTACTTTATTTGGGGGACCTCTGCAGTCCAGCAGTGGCCCCAAGATGCATTAGATGGTGGTGACACGGAGCTGCCCGTGGCCCAAGAGAGGGCCACGCCCTCCGGAGCAGCCGTCCTACTGGGCTGTGCGTTGACAGGGAGCAGGTCCACCCGGACAGACAGACGGACTCCCAGGGGACCCGGCTGCTCCCGTCCACCTCCCAGCTGCCTCTGGGGACTCAGAACTTCTCCACTCGGTGCTTGGATCGAACACTGAGAATCCCTGTTGAGTTATTTTCCTAGCAATGAGTTTTGCTGCTGGAATATTAAAATCATTTCTGGCCTAACCGGGGTGTGTGTTTCAAGCAGGCGATCTCTCTCTCTCTCTCTCTCTCTCTCTCTGCATTTTCAATGAACCGTGGCAACCATGAAGGATCACTTGAAACATCTCACGTGTCCCCTCAGTGAGTCTTCATGTGCCCCGGGCCTAGTCAGAGTCTGTGTGGTTTCGAGCTCCCCGTGAGGTGCGGTCTCTGTGCAGAAAGCCACTCGAGAGCCAGCATGTGGTCCCCACCCACCCCTGTGCCTCGTGGCCAGCCTTCCTCTCTGCTGTTTGAAAGACCCTGGGAAGCGTGTCAGCCTGTTTCCTCCCAGGGCACACGCTGCAGCTTGCTCCTTTGGGCCAGGTGAACATTGGCAGAAGTGAACATTGGCTGTAAAAGTCATCATGGACATCAGTGTCTTTTTGTTGTTGTTGGTGGTGGTCATGGGGCTTGAACTCTGGGTCTGGGCGCTGTCCCTCAGCTCTTCAGCTCAGGGCAAGTGCTCTATCACTGGAGCCACAGCACCACTTCCTGTTTTCTGGTGGTTCATTAGAGATAAGTCTCACGACTTTCCTGCCTGGGCTGGCTTTGAACCGTGATCTTCAGATCTCGGCCCTCTGAGTAGCTAGGATGACAGGCATGAGCCACTGGCGCCCAGCACCATCTTTACAAGTTTTTCCATCTCTGACATTGTCCCGGTGTCCGGAAGATGGTGCCTGTCCCATCACACAGGCTTCCGGTCGGATTTTTCTAGGGTGGAAGTTTGTTCTGTGGACCACACCTTCCCCCACCACAGTCCAGAGCTTTGAGTGAAGTTTCCTGCAGATGTGTCTTCAGATTGGCGAGAGATTGGAGGGGTGCTGGCGGTGTGGGGGCAGGGGCTGGCTGGGCTCCTGGGCCCTGTGGGTGAGGGACACTGGCCATCGGGGCTCTGGGCCCACAGGCCACCGTCCACCCCCCCGCCAAGGGGATCGGCTCCCAGGATGTGGAAGTCCATGGGTTCAAATCCCTTCTGTAAAGCATCACTGCGTTTGCAAAGGGTCTGGGGCACATCCTCCCGAGAGCTTACTGACATACAACATGTAGCGTGCGCGCGGTGTGTGTGAATGGCGGTAGTGCTGCTCAGCTGAGGGAGATGACCAGCAACAGCATCTGAGCGTGCTGAGCGCAGCCCGGTGGGTCGTGGCTGCTTGGAGGCTGGCTTCTCTTTTATTTTCATATTCTTTCCCTCTGTGATGTTGGGTTGGGTCAGGTGGAGCTTCCCCATTGGAGAGGCAGCGGCTGGGGGCGGGGGCGTGGGGGCAGGGGCGGGGCCACTGGAGCAGGGATAGCCTTCCTGTCTGTTCCACTTTGCATACACGTGAGTCCCCGCCCACCAGGCACAGGAAGGCCCTCCTCCCCTCCCCCCCCCGTCTGGGGGGGAGGGGAGGAGGCGTGGCTACAGGAGCTGGTCAGGAGGGGAAATGGAGGCAATCCAAGGCAGAAGCAACTCCAGGGTCGGCCTGCTGCTGAGGGCTTCTCCCGTGTCTGGCCACGCGGTCCTGGTCAGGCCATGGAGATGGGGCTGGGCAGGTAGAGGTCATTTCTGAATCTGCCATGCTCCGTGGGCAGCTCCAGAGTGAGCGCTGGCCAGGAGCCGGCTGTTGCTCCACTGGGCTCACCACTGGCCTTGGCCTGTGAGACAGACTGGCCATCAGCTGCCCCAGGCCTCCATGACACAGGTGGGCGGCGGTGGTGCTCAGACCCGAGCCCAGCTGCCATCTGAAATCTCTTAATTTGGCACTCTGATGAGAACTCCTAAACAGAAGCAGAAGTGGAATCCCTCTCCTGCTCGGGAAGTTCTTTCTCCTGCAGATTCCCCAGGTAGAAGTGTGGTTTGCTTTTCCTTGCGTTACTTTGATAAACTACGATGTCCTGTGTCTTGAGGCTTGCCTGCGGCGGCAGCAGAACACTCGTCCGGTGCTGGGCCCTGGGTTCATCCCAGGGATGGCGGGAAAAGAACAGGGAAGGGAAGGGGGAATAGCCAGCAAGGCAGAGCAGCACAGGCCCACACGGGGCAGGGCAGGTGGAGCGGGACACCCAAAAGGCCCAGGTCCTTCCTCGGAGCTGCTGGGCGTGTGTGCCCGCACGCTGTGCTGTCCGTCCATTCAACAGCCCGATCACGCGACCTCTGCTGTCCACCCATCTTACGAGGAGGAGGCCAAGGCAGAGACGCCAAATCACTTGCCAGGCCGCGTCTACCGTGCGGCTGGGCCGGACTCAGGCTCCCTCACTCCATCACCTCACACCTGGCCCAGAGAGCAGCCAGACACTCAGATGCCCGAGTGCTGCACCCGGCGCAGGGTAACGTGCCAACTTGTGTTTTCAAATTAGCACTTTGTTTTAAATTACTCTACTTGTTGGGGGTGAGGACTCACCTCATACTAGGTGAAAGAATACATTATCGTAACTCTATGGCAAGTGGTGTGACACTAGGTAACAAGAGCCGGAAGACCTGACATGGAGGGTTCCACCCTAAGGGAACCTTCCAGAAACAAGCAGAGACCACAGTGCAATAAAATAGAGAAATGGAGAATGACTCCCGAGCAGCAGGCATCGGCATTAAAATTGCTCCTGCAACAGATTGTGTGTGTGTCTGTCTGTCTGTCTGTCTGTGTATCCATGTGTCTGTGTCCCTGTGTGTCCATGCATGCACCAGTACTGGAGCTTGAACTCAGGGCCTGGGCCCTGAACCTTAGCTTTTTTTTTTTCTCAAGGTTGGTGCTCTACCACTTTAGCCACAGCTACACTTGTGACTTTGTGCTGGTTAATTGAAAATAAAAATCTCAGAGACTGGGCTGGGAAGGTAGCTTAGTGGTAGAGTGTTTGCCTAGCATGCATAAAGCTCTGGGTTCTAGTCCTCAGTACCACATGCATAGAAAAAGCCAGAAGTGGAGCTGCCACTCAAGTGGTAGAGTGCTAGCCTTGAGGAAAAGAAGAAAAAGCAGCTCAGGGACAGTACCCAGGCCTTGAGTTCAAGCCCCAGGACTGGCAATAATATAAATAAATAAATAAACAAATCTCAGAGACTTCCCAGCCCAGGCTGGCTTTGAATTGGGATCTCAGACCTTACCCTCCTGAGTAGCAGGGATTACAGGCATGAGTACCAGCACCCACCACAGCAAAGACAGGGAGGCTCAGGGGACATAGTTACCCGCAGGAACATGGTGTCACACGAATCTTCTTCCCCTGACCTTTCTGTGTGCCT